GCCGTTCCCAGAGCCCCGCTCAGCACGGCAGAAAGGGCACGGACCCATTGCAGCCCGGCCCCCGCCTCCCCTGCAGGGAAAAAAGAAGTTAACCGTATTTTTATGGAGCTTCTCACGGAAGTGTTAATTCATCTGTCCTGAGATACAAAAATCCTTTCATTTTTATAATTATAACAATATAATAGATTGCGGTTGGAGCTTTTTGAGAAACACGTGTAAATTACTGTATCTCTCTGAAATAATATAGTTCACTTTATTAAAAATATTAGCGGGTCGTTAAAACTTTGATGCCATCTGTTTTGGTGCCTTAAATGTTGGAAAGGAATCATTCCAGTGATTTAGCTCTTGGTGTTTTGTGAGACTGAGGGACTGGCAAACATTCTTCAATTTCAGGTGCAGGAGGGCTAAAAGATTTTTTCCTGGAGTAAACAGAGCATTTTCTGGTCTAAATTAGACAATCATATGTCATATGAGTGTCTTATTAATAGGAATCATTAAAGAAATGGCGATGATCTCGTTACAGAAACATTACAGTAGATCATCACATTCCTACAGCACAATTTCTATCTCAAAAGTCGTGTAGCAGACCCCTGAAGCATATGCTTCAATCCAGTTCTGCTCACAAGGGGTTTTACCTGTGATTGCAGTGATGCCATGACTGTGCGTGTCATAGGCAGTCATAGCACATCTGTGCCTTTGTCATATGTAAAATCTGTAAATTTATGTTGGAAGGCTGGGTTTGCATAGCCGTGAGGAGATTTCTGAGACAAAAGTCTTACACTGCTGTGAAACAATGCTCCCTCATGATACTTTATGTCATTGATTCTGTATCAGGGCTTTTTTGCACTTAAATTATACCCGTGAACTATTTCTGCAGACGTTGTTAAGTTCCAGAATAAAGCATCTCTTCTGTTTTGTTTGGGTTTTTTTTTCCTGATCTAAAATTGTATCTTTTGCATTTTTTTGCTCTGATCATGACTTTCCCTCTGCAGTTCCCAAAACAAACAGCTGGCTGAACCAGGATTGCCCTTATTTGTTCGCCTGGTTTTGAACAGCAGCCCTCAAAAATGTGGATAGAAAAAGGAAATACCAAACACGCGCTTGATTGGCAGTCATACAATTTCAAGGATTCAACTCTATCACTTAAAATTTTAGGTGTAGATAAAGCAGTTTGTCTGTTCGTGTGATCCATACATTTTTAAGGCCAGAAGAGACTGTTAGGACCAACTGGCTTCCAGCACAGAAAAGACCAAAGACCCAGTAGGATCTACATCAAGTCCAAACCACCTGTTCCGGCCAAACAATATGTTTTAGAAAAAGAGCTTGTTTTATCTAGACCTTTGTAAAAACACTCATGCTACTTATTGGCTTTAGCTGATCTACTTGCCTGAGTGTATAATTTTCAACCATCTTGAAACAATATTGGAGAATGCTTCAAAATAATTATCTGACTCTAAAACCTGTGCTAGGCGGGTGCGGGATTATTATGGCTGTGGTTGGAGATAAGCGCCCGCAGAGAATCAGTAAGGCTAAACCAGAGAATTCCACGGAGTCGCAGCTGTGTTGACATAATGGAACCACTTTGCCCATTGTCTGTGAAACGTTTGTTTTTTCAGATATGTTCTGGACACAAGCATCTTTCCAGCTGCCATAATAACCTCCTGACCTGTATTTTCATGTCTGTTGATTGGATCGTTTGGCAAAAGTAGGGGGAACTGTATCTTTTTCTCAGTGGTTTTACATGGTACTCTCTCAGAAACTTGCTTCTGACCTCACGTTAGAGGTGGTGTGGACGAATTGTCAGGAATGGTGGACAGCACTTGTCCCCTGGCTGGGTGGGGCTGGTCGAGCAGAGATGATGAGGGGACTGGAGCATCTCTCCTATGAGGAAAGGCTGAGGGAGCTGGGCTTGTTCAGCCTGAAGAAGAGAAGGCTGCGAGGGGACCTTAGAAATGCTTATAAATATCTTAAGGGTGGGTGTCAGGAGGACGGGGCCAGACTCTTTTCAGTGTGTCCCAGTGACAGGACAAGGGGCAATGGGCACAAACTGAAGCAGAGGAAGTTCCAGCTGAACATGAGGAAGAACTTCTTCCCTCTGAGGGTGACGGAGCACTGGCACAGGCTGCCCAGGGAGGT